TTTGAATTTGATTCTTTTATTTCACATGCATAGCCACATGTTTTCAACCTTTCATATTTTACCTAACAGACCAGTCGTTATCTTTCTCCCTCGATTAAATCCATTCTTATTACAATGCTCTTTCTTCTTGGCTCCGCCACTTCTGACCATTCCATTCGTAATCGGTGGAGCAAAAACAAATCGCAGAGGAAAACGAAGAAATCGCCAAGGCCGTCGTCGTCCGGTTGTGGCTTCTCGACTCTCATCGACAGCCTGTAACAACCCTCCCCCATTTATTGTGTATCCAAAGGTCTTTGATTAAGCAGGAGACAAGCAATGAACGATTCTTTGTGATTACTGATGAAGTTATCAATTGGTGCCCTACCCCTCTAATCAGATAAGTTTCTATTCTAGGTTTTTCTTCAGTTTTGATTCTGATAAAAAGCATCATCTTCGTTGTCTCTAATTCTGATCTTTACACACTCTACCGGTGTGTATTCCATTACAACAAAATCGATTGGGCAGGGACAAGCAAAATCAACTCATAATTTGAAGTCGATTGGTTCTATCACCGTTGGGAAAGAAGACTGCCAACCACCATCACCACAATTATCTAATACACAAATCCAAAATTTCAATGAGGTAAACTTTCAAATATGGATTCCAAAGTTCTGAATTGCCTATGTTTTTTGCTCATTTGAAATATGGATTAATGTTGCACACCAATTGTTTGATTTAAGTCCTCAAAGAAATTAACTCTTTTTAGATCAACAATAGGGGTTGATAAGCTTATTTTCCTACATCCGTTGTTATTTTGGAGGTACGCTTTCTTTTTTCTTTGTATCTACTTCGACTTCTATCCAAACCTGTAGGCCAAAAGCAGACGACGTTGACAATGAGTGAAGGAGAGCGGGTGTCCGCTTCCGTAATTTGGTTGTTTTGTTCCTAAATGTTTTTTTGTTCCTCCTATGTTGCTTTTCTGTAGTTGTTCTATCTTTCTTTCATGTGATTTTATTTGAGAAGACTCTCTCTGTTTCTACTAGGTAGTTGCTTCGCTTCCTTTCTGAATCCCGACACCCTCACCCGTACGACTACTCCAGTTGATTAATTTAATTTCTTTCCGATATTTCTATTTTTCATTTTGTGATCTTTTATGATAAGGATTGAGTTTTTTAGGGTGTAAGAAGATTAGGTGCAACTGATGTGGATGTGTCACGTGGGTCTGGGCATTGTAGAAGCATATTGGGAATATCGTCTAAAGCTATGGGATATGGCTGGCTGGTGTTTTGGTAATGCTATTTAGTATTTATCCTCAAATTTAGTTTAAAAATTTTATTTTAATTTTGCAATATTTGGAACCAATAGTAATAATTATAATAGTTATAAGAGTAAATTACATTTTTAGTTTCTTTGTGTTGTCGATTTTTACAATTTTGGTCCTTATTTGAGGTTTTTGGTCCTTCCAAGTAAAATGACTATTATTTTGGGATTAAAATTGCAAAAGTAAGCCATACCCATGGACCAAAAATAGTCATTTTTCTTGGAAAGGAGGCCTCAAATAAAGCCCAAATTTACAAAAGTAATATTAATGGTGACGATACTAGTAATTATTATTATTATTATTATTATTATTATTATTATAGTTTTAAACTACTATAATACCAGTAACAACCGACATTGAAAGAACGTTGGTAAATAGTAAATACAAATTTATTAAATGATTTGGTTTCTATCCTATTATATTGGAATCGTTCATATTCTAAAGGTAGGACACCACACTAATGAATAACAGGTTACTGGATATAATTTCAAAGCTAAATCTACAAAAAAAAAACAGCCAGTTTTGGAGAAAGGAATAGTGGATCTCTCTATTTTACACAAGGCACTTGTGGAGTATCTTACAGTTGCTGACAAGGTATGTTTAACTTGGGCCTGTAAATTGACCATTATTACCCATATTTGATATTTTTTTCTTTCCGTTTCTAGAGTTATTAGTTGTGTGGGCCCACAGACTTCCACACAATACATAATCTTATAAAAATTGAAAACAAGAAATATTAGTTAAGGGTTTAATATTTTGTTTATATTAATCAGGGGTGATTCTTGCGACAAAATAGAACCACAGGGACAATTTCCATCATACCAAACATTATGAAAAGCTTTTAATTTAGTCGCTTCATGAGTTATGCATAGCAATGCCCAGGTTTGCCAATATTGTTATTTTTCTTCATCTATTTCACATTACTAACTCTGAATTTACAAAATTGTCCTTTCTCTTAATAGTTAGAAGTCGGTTGTTGGTAATATCCACAAGATGACCATTTATTGTGAAAATAGTTAACATTGTTTTTAATAGAGGGTAATAATGTCAATATGTGACATATGTCATCTATTGCATGGTATAAGCAACTTTCTTTTATTTACTTAATTAATGACCCTAACCAAAACACACATTGACGGTTATATTTATCAATTTGAATCTATCCTGATGGAAAACTACTTTAGGCGTTAATCGAATGCCTAGAAGCCAATAATTTGCTACACCATACAGATCTATCAACATGCATTTTTAGGTTATTATAGCATGACACGATTATCTTTCTGCTTATATTATGATATCCATGTTGTTCATGTTTTGATGCCTTCTGGTACAGGTGGGAATCTTATGTTGGGGGATAGGCTGCATGCTCCAGTTGTGCCCATACAACAAAAGGAGGATATTTGATTGTTGGTGTTGTTGTATGACTTATGGCTCCTGGATTTCCTATTGGGAGAGAGGTATATGCCATCATTTAAGTTCATTTTGTTGGTTTCTTTACATTTTGTTGGCTAATGATTAGGTTACAGTTTATTCACAGTTTGACCAACTTCACTATGGATTTTCTTCAAATTTTAAGGTAACTTACTTTGTAGTTCATGTTATCTGTATTTCTCCATTTTTTATTCTATTTACTAATTGTTTGGTTAATTTTGGACCAAGTTTGTTACTGTACCAAATAAGGCTTACATAGTTTAAGTATCCACCAATTATGACATCCTACTTTCACATGACTTCTTTCTTTTTTGCTTATGGTCAGGTTATCAAGTCCACTGCCCCGGAAATACATGTAAACCTGATGCACCAATAAAGTTCAAAAATCCAAATTTGAGGAGGAAATTAAGAGGGCATCTTCACCATAATGCACCATGTCCATCTCCAAGAAGCAACAATAATTCAACAAATGAGGTGTTGAATCCAGTTCTATAAAAATGGTCTGAACCACAGGGGAACTCCCTTAATTTGATGCTCTGTTACTATTTTCATTCCTACGCACATCCTTTTGATGTGGTGACACAAAAGAGAATTGAAGGTAGAGATAAAAGAATTAACAATTTATTGATTTTACTTTAAGTTAAGTTATTTTCACAAAAAAATTCATATGGTTAATCTATAACCTCCTATTAGTATGCAATTCAGCATAGTATTTTACAAAGCAATACCTTCTAACCCCCGCAACACGGGGGAATCTTTTCTAGTTTATATGAAAAAAGAAAAGAATATTATCTATATAAATCATATATGAGTAGATATATATTATCAAATGTGATTATATACATGAGAACAACTATTAAATCAAGTATACAAAACAAATCTTGTCCACATAACTCATATGTGATTAATTATATATAATAACGTGTGATTAAATACACGAGACCAATTATTGAATTGAAACCGTAAAAATAAATATTGTCCACATAAATCATATTTGATTAAATAAATATAATCACATGTGATTATATGTATCCAATCACATATGATTTACGTGGACAAGATTGATTATCATGTTCTCGATTCAGATATTGATTTTTTTCAACTTTAATCATATGTGATTAAATATATCTAATCACATGTGATTATATGTATTATCCTAATGAATCAAAAACACAATAACAAATCTTTGTAGGTGGTGGTGGGGGTGGTGGCGGCGGGGTGGTGGTGATTGGTGGTGGTGGTGGTGGTGTGTGGTGATGGGTGGTGGTGGGTGGGTGGGT